CTGAGTGTCGAGAGCGCGTTTTCACAGCTTTACACAAAAGACAAAAAGAGCGCAACAAGTTGATAGCCGAAAATTCCGGAGCCTACTTGTAATGGACGGATCTCACTAAGCGTTCGGCGCATATGTGACGCCGCCCTAGCTTTAGTTCGCGGGAGGCAAACGTCCGTACATGCTCGTGCCGTCTCGTGCTTCACGAGCGCAGAACTCCACAAGGTTCCCTCCATGCATTGCTGCAGCGGTGGCGTAGTCAAACTGGCTGGTGAGATCGGTCTACTGAGTATATCTTATAACACGTTGGACGGAAACAATTGATGTTTATATGTTTTTTTAAATGCCTCGAAAGTGAATGATAGTAAATAAAAGGTACGTCTTAACTGCACTGACAAAATGCATTATATACAGGGTGTCACAAAAAAAAAACGTTACAGAGTTTTTTCAACGCAAAAATAAACTAGCGTTTGCCGAACGCTCATTCTCTACCCAAAGGTAGTGCTAGAGGTCACAACCTGAAGCCAAAGTTTCAGCCCGATCCGATACCTTTTTCAAAAGTTATAAGTAATTTTCTGAAAATTTCAATGGGAAAATGTAGCCCAGTATTGCCCGTTTTCGGTTTCTGGTGCCATAGAGCTCAATGTAAGTATTTGAATACTACGTCGGCCGCCATTTTCCTATTGAAATTTTTAGAAAATCGCTTATAGCTTTTGATTAACGTATCGGATCGGGCTGAAACTTCGGCATCTGGTTGTGACCTCTAGCGCTACCTTTGGGTGGAGAATAAGCGTTCGGCGAGCGCTAGTTTATTTTTGCGGTAAAAACAAAAACCCTGTAATATATATATATATATATATATATATATATATATATATATATATATATATATATATATATATATATATATATATATATATAGGTGAAGTAAGGTAAATATAAAAACAATGGACCGGGAAAAGTTAGTAAGTCAAAGATGCGTACTGTCTGACTTATTAACGTCGTAATAAACTTCGAATTAGTAACTGCGACAGTACGCATCTTTGACTTGTATATATATATATATATATATGTATATATATATATATATATATATATATTCGTTTTTTAAAGAAAACTTTCTCATTATATCTCATTACCAGAATGTGCACTCTTAAAGTAGACCCATATAATGTGACAAAGCAATGCCGAAGACCACCCGTGGATTCGGAAAATCCAAAGACAGAAAACGTAGAACCCACTTTTTAAACCGCGAGTTGGTGCCCAGGTGGCGATGCTGCGTTAATCGCTGAATGCTAAAGGAATACAGAATAACGCAAATTAAGAAAGACTGAAGCTTACCGGCGATCTCTCTAGACAGATATCCGTTTTTCAGGGTTACTAAATCTCTCCTGTGGGAAAGAAAAGGATCAGTTCTTTCAAATAAAGAATATAAAACGGCACTGCGTCTTTTTTAGTTTAGAACTGAAAGTTGAAGTTAACAAATAAAGACTCTTGGGGAAGAAGACGTGGTTCTAATCTAAGAAAAGGTTACTTTTATCAGTCTTGAACACGTACCCCCAAAATAGGAACGCGTTTCCGTTACTTTTCTAACATTTGAAAGTGTCGTTACCTTGACGTTATATTTGCATATTTTAAAACGATGTTGTACTGAGGGGCGGGGGAAGGGGGGGGGGGGGGGGGGGGGGACGGGGGGAAGGTGCCGACGGTGGACGCTCGAAGCTAGAGTCGGTTTGCTTTCGTTGTTTTTGTTTACTCGGAGAAAAAATTCCCCACTAAATTTAGCGGAAAAAGTTCCCCGCTAGACCTCGCGGAATTTCCCCGCTAAATTTAGTAGAAAAACTTTACTGTTAAATTCAGCGGACAAGAATTTCCCGCTAGATACAGCAAAAATGTCCTGGCTAATTTTAGCAGAAAACTTCTCCCGCTATATTAAGCAGAAAAAATTGCCCGCTAAATTCAGCGTAAAACTTTTTGCGCTGACTTTAACCGAAAAAAATTCTCTGCTAAATTTAGTAGATAAAGTTCACCGCTAAAGAAATTTTTCTGCTAAATTTAGCATAAAAACCTTCCCAGTAAGTTTAGCAGAAAAAGTTCCCCGCTAAATGCAGCTGAAAATTTCTGCCCTATATTTAACAGAAAAAATTTCCCGTCAAAGTTTGCGAGGAAAAATTTCTCCCCTAAACGGTCAATTTTTTCCGCTAAATTGAGCGTAAAAACCTCTCCGCAAGGCTTAGCGGAAAAATGTCCCCCTTAGATTGAGCATAATTTGCTGAATTTAGCAGGAAATCTAGAGAAAATTTACCGCTAAATGGGAGGAGAGCACGGGAGGAATAGGGGAGGGGAGGAGGAGGAGGATGGGCATACCCTCCCCTTCTCCTCCTCAAGAGCTGCTCTTTAATTCGGCATTACTATGAGTTGTAAACGTCTTTCATTTTTTGCTTGCCAACAAACTCAGTGAGAGCAATCTATTGGGTTGCCCTGGCACACTTACGGTTCATGTTGCAACCCCTCAGTTTTTACTCAAAACTTTTAGATCAAAAGAGTGAATTATGCCAGAGCGTACTATAAGGCGGTCATTTCACAAAGATAACTTGTAGATTTGATCTCGCATACACTCTCAAGAAAAAAGGGTGTCAAAAGGTGTATTCTCAATCAATCAATCAATCAGTTTATTAAGTCACAAACAATTACATTTGGGAATGTAATTACAATACACCCTTTGTCCCATATAATACACCCCAGAATTTCAATTCGACGTACAGTGCCGTACAGTTGAACATTGGGCCCGAAACTTTACGAGGGGCTTGATGGCCGTGTGGTACAACATTTTAAACAGCTAAACTACGTATCAAAGACCACACAAAGAAAACACCGAGTTTTTACAGTAGAGCCAAGAAAACACGAATTATTTATTTTGTGTTCAGTAAAACGTACATTATCTATTTTAATAAGTTGTACCACACGGCTATCAAGCCCCAAGTAAAATTTCGGGCCGTCTGTTCGGCTGTAGGGCGCTGTATGTCGAATTGAAGTTTGGGGGTGTACTATATGGGACAAAGAAGGCAAGAATACACCTTTTGACACCCTTTTTTCTCGAGAGTGTATATGGCGAAACCCACCGTCTAGTTCAGAGCCGGAAGTGTTTCAGAGGCCATCTGCACACTGGCGCCACCTCCCCGTTTCAACTCATGGGAGGAGGAGGGAATAACTTTGGGTCAAGTAATTAGCTTTTAGTATAGCTTTGGGTTTGAGTCGAAAGTTTTACTTACCCGGTCAGCACCACAAACAGGTCGGGATAGTGGTGTTCGTATTGTCTCGTGAAATTAAACATGTTCTTTATCGTGCGTTCTGCTTCTATGTATTCGCCTTGCATTTGAAGGAAAGATCTCTCTTCCTATAGCAGGAAGAGAATATACGTATGCAAGACAAGTATAAAATCTTTTCTTTTTGTTTTGCTTTGTGGTACATTGCGCAATAAATTTGTGTTACTTAGCAAACAGAAGATCACTGTCCCTTAACAGATGCCCCTTGTATTCGTAAAGGTATTAAACTAAATCTGTTTTCAAGCTTTTTTAGATTGAAGACAACATGAGATGTGAGGTAAACGAACTTGCCAAGCTCGCATACTTAACGCAAACTGGTGATCTATGATTTTTTATTTGTTTTGTTTAAAAAAAAAATATTGTTCATGTTAAGAGTATAAAAAGATGAGCCAATACAGCGTGTCAAACCGAGTCGTACATGTTGTTGTTTTAACACTGCAGTGTATTTTTTGAGACCACTGAGGCTGCGACAGGGTGTTTGAGCTAACTGTGCCGTTCTGTGTACACCGAGATTCAATTGACCCTTTTTAAAAAGGGCGCGCCATCTGGTAGCTGCTTCCCAAGTTAACCGAGTCCGCCAGTGTTTGGCCGCAGACTCTGAGCATCTGTTGGACACAAATGTGACGTCAGCACTAGGCGATCACTCGGATCCAATCCCACGCTGTGTGGCCAAGAAATGGCAACCGCGAATGCTGCCCGACGGGGTTTCAAAAAGGGTCTATTAAGGCGTGAACACAAGGTCCGCATTTTTTTTTTGTTTCTATCTTTGTTATAAGGCTGTCCCCCTCTCCCAGAAAATGTAATAACAAGTTCTTTTTTTTTTTGTACAGGGGAGCTCTTAAGGGCTAGTTTCTCCAGCATCGTGTCCGTCAGCAAACAAATGATGACACAAAACTCTGGACAGCTACGACCATATAAGGGCGACGGCGACAACCAGACGACCTTGGTTGCCACCGCCGCTCATAAATGGTGGTAGTTGTCCAGACTTTCCACCCTGGCTTGCTGACTTGCGGCCGTTCATTACATCATTCCTACCGTATTACAGCTTCGCTTGTGTTCCTTCTTCACCAAAATCAAAAAAAAAAAAGGAAAGATCTTTTGTTTTGTTTTTTTACCACAAAAATAAATTACGCATTGCCGAACTCTCATTTTCAGCCTAAATGTAGACCTAGCGTCCGAACGAGACGCTAAAATTGCACAAGTGGCCGCTATTTTACTCAAACGTTAGGGAATTTGTGGTATTATCGAAGGGAAAAGAGCGGCCGACGGAGCTTTTGAATACATGAAGCTGGATGGCGAGAGTGGCCGAAGGGGGGCGGAAACCTGAGAAAACTTATCCCGTGTTCCCATTGATATTTTCAGAAAATCACATGCAATTTTCGATTGAGATAACGGTTAGATTTGAAGCTCTTTCATCTGGTTGGGACCGCGCTAGCTCTACCTTTGGGCGGAGAATAAGCGGTCGGCAGTGCTTAGTTTATTTTTGTAGTGAAAACAAAAATAACCCTTGGAATTTTTCGGTGGGTGCCCTGCGCATTCTAGCGTCAAACACTATATTTTACCGACAAAAAGGGTAAGTTGTTCCTCGTGGACATTCCATCACACTACTCTCTAAAAAACGACTGCCAGTTCACTTTTCTGCAGAACACGTTGCGACCAATCACGGCCAACGGTAGAAGGATAGCAGCAAATGACGAGGATCAGAATACGATTTCTAGACTTGAAAAAATGTGATGTACTCAGGAAGAACCTGAGCATGACATTTCGCGTTCTCATCGTCCCTAGGCAGACAAAAAGTTTTGAGATATATAATCATACTCTGGTGTTCCATTGCTGGGATCCTTCTATCGTTTGCCGTGTTTGACTTTCTTTGTGTTCTGCAAGGAAGTGAACTCGCAGACTTGAAGGGACACTGACACCCTCCAGAAATGTTTTAATACGAAATCCCTAACTGCCTCATGGAGAGAGCCGACGTCATCAACTTTGAAACCACGCCAAACGGCTCTTAAATTCTTCTCCAAGTCAAGCCAGTTGCCAGTCGCCGGTTAGCCACGGCACCTTTTACACCGCATCGATCCCATCGGCTAGCGCGCGTCGACCAGGTTCCCATTCGCCGGGCACGCAGCGCCATGAGGTGGCCGGTCTTTGAGACTGACACTGCGCGTCAGTTTCAATGATTGGCCGCCTCATGGCGCTGCGTGTTCATCAGCGCCAGTCAGCGCGCCAAAAAACGTAGAGCAAGAATTATGTACATGCTCTCGCATTCATAACTTATAAAAAGTGCTTAGGTGTATTTTAATGTTTGGCCAGGCGATTTAATATCGTGTCAGCAGACAATCCAATCAATATTTTGCTACAAAGTCACGTATATTATTAAAGGGATCATGAAAGGAGATCGGGTTGAAGTGTTCATGACTTCGCAGAGGGGTACTGGTCCTAGTCTGGCCCAAGTATACTCGCACAGACCACCACTTATTCAGAACCTTCTTGGTCGCGGTGAAATTGCGAAAATAAAAAGGGCTATTTCTTTCAGTTTTGCCTTCGTAAAGCTTGAGGACGGAATTGTGGGATCGAAACCACCCGCCTAACGACAGTCGAGCGCGGCTCACGCGTTGGACACGAGAACTGCGTAAGCACTCGACTTCGGCTCAAACAATCAATGCTCGCGTCCAACCACTGCGGTGATAAAAATATCCGAACTAAAAAAATGCCTAATGCTCAGCACGCGTTTTTTTTTTTTTTTTTTAGCTACTCCCAGCGCTTGTGTATGATTAACGTTGGCAAAATAGGATAGGCACCAGGCCACGTGGCCGCTTCTTCTAGCTCCGAGTTGAGGGAATAAAAAATTTTCGTACTTCTCGAATTTTTTTAGCGACTGCCATTGCCTAGAGAGAAAACAACTAAGGCATGTTTATTCAGGTACTAACGTTAGGAAGTGATTCTAAATAATATTTAGCGAAATCGGAAACATCGTTTCATGACTTCTTTAATAAAGTCAGAAGCTCAACTGCTCGAAATCGAAACCGAAGCATGAGCAAGGAAGCTGGTGGCCGGAAGTCACGTGGCTACACCAGACCACGTGTTTTTTTTATTGTTTTTTTTTTACTTCGTTTTTCCGGCTTTTGAAGCAGACAACAACGACGACGACGAACTTGCCTGCTGATTGCACCGTTGGTCGGTCGATTTTTTTGCACTTATATCCTTTCCGCTCGATGTATTGCGCTTGAAGATAGATTGGCCAGTACCACGAACGACAGTTCGGAAGTAGCGGCAAAACGTCCGTCGCAACGTATTTCCGTCGTGCGCCACCGTCGTGCCGTCCACCCCGCGGCACGCCGCCATATTAAGAATGGCATGTGCATGTGCCTCCTGTGATCTGTGCAGGATGTTTTTGTGTTTTGTTTTTTTTTAAATCAACGTATTTGCAGTTTCTTAGAGGTGACAAAAAACGGGGATCATAATATTTTCAATTTTTAATGTTGGCTGTGTCCCTTAGATAACCCACGACTTTGAATATATTTGGCACACATAGTTCGAGCGCCACGTGCCCATGAAAATGAGAGTTACCGCGACTTAACCTGGCCAATTCTCGACCGGCTGTGTTATGGCGGAAAGAAAAGGAATTTTGAGCCGTTAATTATGTTTTGAGTAGTTGGACTCTCATAGATCGTGTTCAAATAAAAAACCTCGGCGAGGATAACTAGCATGTCAGTGTCCCTCTAAAGCCCCGTTCACAGATCTGCGTTTTCCTTACGGCCAATAGCTCTCGTAATCTCTTGCGACGAGAGGACACACTGTCTCGCTGGCGCCGTCTATGCGGTGATCCTGGAGCTGCATTTCACCAAAGCGAACATTTTGCGGTATTTGTGATGTCAAATGTACGTATACAATCTATGGGAAGTTGTCGTTCATCACGTCGTAAAAAGAAGTTTTTTTTAGCCAAAAAAGAAAGAATAATGAGCGACAATTAAAGAAATATACGGAGACTGCGAGTGTTCCACGGCTACACGCTAGATTGCGCTAGTGTGTTCTCTCGTGGCGAGAGATTTTAGCAGGTTTTAAAACACACGGTCATAACCAGTCGCGAGTGTGCGAAGCACCCTTCAGCGTATAAAAGAAAGATCCCTTAATCGCCGTGTGGCATCTTGTGTAGACGATTCTTGCATCTTGATAAGTTCATCAGCGTTCTTATCGGCTGTTTACATAGTCTCATTAAAGTCTCTTTAAATCTCATTAAAAACAACAATAAGATGTCCAGGGCTCAACGCACCCCGCGTTTCTTAAACCGTCAAGAACTAGAGATGGCAAAATACGAAGCATTCTCAAGAAAGCAAAAGCAACAACTTTACCTTCTCCGTTGTCATCACTATCTGAACCACCCGAAACTGGAGCTTTGGATACGACGTCTGATCGAATCGCATGTTTACCTGACAAGAAAGAAAGTGATATGTGATTTGGGGCGACGCAACACGATTAAATGGTGTAACGCAAATCATGTCTGATACTCACAGCAGTCATGAAAACGACTACGTAGGCACATAACTCTCTTCTAGTCATTCCCTTGTGGTGCTCTGAATCCGAGATGATGGATACCTCTTGCTTGGCTTCGCGCCAACCTCGATCGACCCACAAGGACCTTGGAGCTGGAAAACGATGTCGTAGTGGTCAGGGGTTCGCGGCCGGGGCGCAATCGATGCGGGCAACCAATACATCGGAGTTTGGATTAAAAGAGAAACGTTTTTTTCTCAGTCCCAATGTAGTGCTAGCGGTTGGCGCCAAGATGCCAAAGTTTCACACAATACTGATTCAAAACTTGTCAAAGATAAGTTTGGACATGTTTCGGTGCGAAATTGGTGACCAACAGAGCCGGTGAATACACGGAGATGAATGGCAAACGCCACCGGAAAGCGCCTCTCTCTCTCTTTGAAGAAGAAAAAAAATGTTTATAACCCTTTAATTAGATAAGGGTGTAAGCTCTGAAACTTCGGCTCCTTTTCCGGATTGTTATCGTTATCTATGTGACCGAAGACTGAGCGCTCTGTGATGAGTAGCTTAGGTATCTCAGTATGAAAACAATCTTCTATTTTCTCCCAAGCACTCGGTATTTCTATGTGTTACCACTGAATTAAATATAGCCGAAAACGACAATACTACTATCGTAAAAAAAATGAGATGGAGAAACAGAAGATGACTGATAAATGTGTTAAACAACAAAAAAAGAAGTAATTTAGATTTCTACTTATCATGATTCCACTCGGGTTAAAAGCAGAGTGAGAAGATTGATGTTGCTTTATGCTTGCAACATGGTTTCTTGCCCATGATCAGCTAGTGAAGCGTAAAATTGCGTAGACAACTCTTTGTTGTATTGAAGCGAACAGGTTAAAAAGTGAAAGCCATTTACAACTCCCTGTAACGCCGAATCGGAGCGCAGCTCTTGAGGAGGAGGAGGAAAGAGTACTGAGGGGAGGGTAGACCACTATTCCTCCTACCCTCATTCTTTAATATGCTCCGGGGGGGTCACCTGACCTCAGTGGGGGGGGGGGGGGGGGGGGGGGCACGTGACCTCGGGGGGGGGGGTGTCACGTGACTTGGGGGAGGGGGGTCTCACGTGATCTCGGGGAGGGGGCCACGTGACCTTGGGGGTTGTCATCTAAGTGGGAACGCATCTTGCGTTATATGGCACAAGTGCTGGCTGGCTGTGTTGACTGACAGATGAGTGTGACTCGGATAGCGCGGGACGGATGCGCGTGGAAGGCTGCGATGCGCGCGTGTGGGCTCGAGGTTTTTGGGTTGTTCGATAAAGGCTACCGGTGTAGCTGGTGTTCTCTTGCGGCTCCTGTCTTTGGTCCTCTTTACTCGACCCGACTCGGTACACGACATGGTAGCAGCGGTGGGATGAATGACCCTCTAACGTCTCCGAGGACCTGAGAAGCGACAATGGGGTTACCAGAGTGATCTCACGGCCAGGTAGGAAGCGATCCAGCGGACGAACTACGCCATGCCTAACGACGCAGACGGTTCGGGTTCTTCGAACACCCAGGCCAGCGGAGGGGCATCCTTCTTCAATCCTTTCGCAGTCGAGCTCCCGGAGAAGTTGGATTTCCGGAATCCTAATGACTGGAAGAGATGGATAACCCGGTGGGAACGTTACCGCATAATTTCAGGACTCCATCTCCGGGACACATCGACTAGGTCAACACTTTCCTTTATGTGATGGGCAGAGAGGCAGAGGATGTTCTCTCCTCGCTCAACTTAACCGAAGATCAGCTTATCGACTACGATGTAGTCAAGGCCAAATTCGACACCTACTTCATTCCTCGGGTGAACATCATCTTCGAGCGAGCCAAATTCAACTCGAGAAAGCAAGAACCGGACTAGCCAGTGGAGGTCTTCATCACGGCCCTACATAAACTGGCGGATACTTGCGAGTATGGCTCTCTGCGGGACGAGCTCATCCGAGATCGCATCGTGGTAGGACTGCTCGACACAAAACTCAGTGAGAAACTCCAGCTGGACGCTCAACTTACATTGGAAAAAGCGACCACGACAGCACGATCGTCGGAGACAGTTAATCGGCAACAGTCAGAGCTGCGCAGCGCAAAGACTGGAAGCGACGTCCTCGAAGAACCTAAAAGACATCCGCGAGGAAAAAGCGTAAACAAAGATACCAAACGTCAAAGCACGTCGCAAGACCAAGGACGTCCTAACAGTTTAACGTGGACATGCCGATGGTGTGGCAGTTCGGGAAAGCAGGCCCAGCTTCAATGCGCTGCGAGAGGCAAGAAGTATAACGCCTGCAAAAAGCTAGGCCACTTCGAAAGCGTCTGTTTTTCGAAGCATGCGATAGAAAATCGAAAATCACGAGCACATGGGCAGAGACTAAACGAAGTCTTCCTTGGCGAGCTGGTACACTCAAGAAATGGGAGACCCTGGTTCATCACAGCTAAGCTGAACGACCGGGAAGTAACGTTCAAGGTAGATACGGGAGCGGACGTCACGGCTGTACCTCCTAGCGCGTGCGACGCGACAACCTTGGCAGCGCTGGAGGCAACAGAGACGCATCTTTTTGGAGCCGGACACTTTCCACTCAGCACACTCGGCAAGTTCAAGGCAACTATAACCTGGAGTGGGCGAACAACCAGAGAGACGATCTACGTAACCGACCGGCTGAGATACCTTCTGCTTGGACGAGCGGCTATGCAAGCCCTTGAGGTGCTGCCAAGCTTACAGGACGTCAACGTTGACAGCAACATAGAGTACGATCAACAACTGCACGCTAAGTACCCATCGCTTTTCCAAGGACTGGGGAAAATGAACGTCCAGTACAAGATCACCCTCCACCCGGACGCTAAGCCGTTTGCAATCACCTACCCGCGACGGGTACTCTTCCGAGTACCCGTCGCGGGTAGGTTCCGGCTACTGCCAAGCCCCACTAGCTTCGGAATCAAGAGAACTGACCACTTTCATCCATACCTCGGCAAACCTCACTCATGAGGGCCCTCACTCACCCTCACTCACCCTCATCTTCACAGGTGAGGTGAGGGTGAGTGAGTTTCTGAACCAGGAAAATTCAGGAGTGTGAGGGTGAGTGAGGGCCGTGAGGGCCGTGAAGGCGGTGAGGGCCATGAGGGCTGTGAGGGCGGTGAGGGCCGTCAGGGCCGTGAGGGCGGTGAGGGCCGTGAGGGTCGTGAGGGCCATGAGGGCCATGAGGGCGGTGAGGGCGGTAAGAGGTATGAGGGCCATGAGTGCGTGAGGGTGAGGGCCATGAGTGCGGGAGTGGTGTGAGGGCGGTGAGTGCGTGAGGGGTGTGAGGGCGATGAGTGCGTGAGGGCAGTGAGTGGCATGAGAGGCGTGAGGGCCGTGAGGGCCGTGAGGGCGGTGAGTGCATGAGGTGGTGTGAGGGCCGTGAGGGCGGTGAGTGCGTGAGGCCCCCTTCAGATTGAGCATCTTTCTCAGCAATTTTGGTGTTAATGGTGGGTTGTTTTCAAGCTTTCCCTAGATCGACACGAATTGCTGATATCGGGTCCGGCTCGAAATAAGCAAGCAACTCGGAGCAATTCCAATACGTTTGAAGCGGCTGCATCTAATCAGGGACGCAAAATTGTTACGTGATACCTCGTGCCGGTGATGATGACACCGAAAGACTTTGTTCTCGTTTGAAATCGATCATTTTTTTGGGAATAAACTGTTTCAGAAAGGTGTATTAGTATTCTTAACGATATTTAAATGCATAAAAACACGTTTATAACTCGTAATTGTGTCTAAATAGTGCAAGAGAAAAGTGAAAGCCGTTTACAACTCCCTGTAACGCCGAATTGGAGCGCATCTCTTGAGGAGGAGGAGGGAAGGGTACTGAGGGGAGGGTAGACCCCTCCTCCTCCTCCTCCTCACTTGACCTTGGGGGGTTACGTGGGGGTCACCATGGGGGTCATGTGACCTTGAGGTGACCTTGGGAGGGGTCACGTGACCTTGGGGAGGGAACCACGTGACCTCGAAGGTCACGTGACCTTGTGGTGACCTTGAGGGTCACGTGACCTTCAGTGGGTCACTTGGGGGTCACGTGACCTCGGGTCCCGTGACCTTGGGGTGACCTTGGGGCCACGTGACCTTGGGATGACCTTGGTGACGGCGACGGCGACGGCGACGCCGCTCAAGCCGGAAACGGGTGCCTAAGGGCTGCGCTCTAAAATAAAATGTTATGATGACGATGGCAAATTGCAGCAATTGGTTGCTGCGTGTTATCGCGGGCGGCACGTGTTGTTGGGGTTGCGACGTAGAGTTTCTGGGCGAAATTGCCCCTTCTGAAGCTGGCCTGAGTAGCGTGAGGGCCATGAGTGCGTGAGTGGCGTGAGGGCGGTGAGGGGCGGTGAGTGGCGTGAGGGCGGTGAGTGGCGTGAGGGCCGTGAGGGCGGTGAGGGCCGTGAGGGCGGTGAGGGCCGTGAAGGCCGTGAGGGCGGTGAGGGCCGTGAGGGCGGTGAGGGCCGGGAGGGCGGTGAGTGGCGTGAGGGCTATGAGTGCGGGAGGGCCGTGAGTGCCGTGAGGGCCGTGAGGGCCGTGAGGACGTTGAGGGCCGTGAGGACGGTGAGGGCTATGAGTGCGTGAGGGCCGTGAGGGCGGTGAGGGCGGTGAGGGCCGTGAGGGCGGTGAGGGCGGTGAGGGCCGTGAGGGCGGTGAGGGCCGTGAGGGCGGTGAGTGGCGTGAGGGCGGTGAGTGGCGTGAGGGCCATGAGTGAGTGAGGGGCGTGAGGGCCGTGAGGGCGCCGAGGGGCGTGAGGGGCGTGAGGGCCGTGAGGGCGGTGAGGGGCGTGAAGTTCAGTGAGGGTGAGTGAAGGGCTGAAGGTGGGTGTGACTGTGAGGGTGAGGGTGAGTGAGGGGCTGGAGGTGAGTGTATAGCTGTGAGGGTGAGGGTGAGTGAGGGGTTTAGGTGAGTGTGGCTGTAAGGGTGAGGGTGAGTGAGGGTGACCTAAAATGCCGACCTCTGCTTTCATCACACCAGTGGGGCGTTTTCAGTTTAAGAGACTCCCGTTTGGAATCGCGACGGCGCCAGAGTTCTTCCAGCGGGAGATGCTGAGGATTCTTGAAGGAATCCCGGGGCATGTTTGTCACATGGATGACATTCTAGTTTTCGGCCGCGACAAAACAGAGCACGACAGAAATCTCGAGGTGGTTCTCCGCCACCTCCGTAACACCGGAGTGACCTTGAACTCCGCAAAGTGCGAGTTCGCCAAGAGTCGCGTCAGGTTTCTGGGCCACTTCCTGGACGGCAGAGGCATCGCGGCAGACCTTAAGAAGACGGAAGCGATTGTCAAGATGCCAGCACCGAAAAGCATGGCAGAGCTACGATCGTTTTTTAGGCATGGTAAACCACCTCGGCAAGTTTCTACCTGACATTGCGGACAAGACTAAGCCACTTGAGATCTACTACATCAGGATGCAAACTGGCTCTGGAGTGAGCCTCAAGAGAAAGCATTCTGCGAGGTCAAAGATCTCTAGAAGGGTGTGTACTTGGGCTAGTTGGTTATTCATGAATAGGAGGTAAAAGCGCTAAAAAACGACGGACAAGTTGAAGAATGACGAACACCACAGAGCGCTAACTTGCAACTGAAGTTTTATTACTGAAAACACGTACACATATATACACCGTGACATCAAAAAGACAAGTGGCAATAATGCCGCTTCATCTATCTAAGGTTAATCTATGAATTGTTTACTCTTTCGAATGATTTCAAATATGCCACCTCAGAGCTATACAGGTTTACTGAGGGAGCGCTGACACACATGCCCTGATCGTACTTCAAAATAAAAAACGCCTCTATCGGAGGCGTTTTTTATTTTGAAGTACGATCAGGGCATGTGTGTCAGCGCTCCCTCAGTAAACCTGTATAGCTCTGAGGTGGCATATTTGAAATCATTCGAAAGAGTAAACAATTCATAGATTAACCTTAGATAGATGAAGCGGCATTATTGCCACTTGTCTTTTTGATGTCACGGTGTATATATGTGTACGTGTTTTCAGTAATAAAACTTCAGTTGCAAGTTAGCGCTCTGTGGTGTTCGTCATTCTTCAACTTGTCCGTCGTTTTTTAGCGCTTTTACCTCCTATTCAAAGATCTCCTGTGCAAGACTCCTGTCCTAACCTTCTATAAACCAGGAGCGCACCTGACGTTATCGGCAGACGCTTCTTCGTATGGACTGGGGGCAGTCCTACTCCAAGAGGAGGAGAACGGCAACAGACGCCCCATGGCGTACGCGGCGAGAGCCATGACGCCGACAGAACAAAGGTACGCCCAAGTCGAAAAGGAGGCTTTGGCCATCGTCTGGGCGTGTGACCATTTTAAACCCTACTTGGTAGGACAAGTATTTCACGTCGAGACAGACCATAAGCCCCTTGTACCGTTGTTATCGACAAAACGTCTCGACGAAATGACACCGAGGCTACAGCGGCTACGAATGCGCATCTTCGGGTTCGACTTCACTATCTCTCACGCACCAGGCAGGAAGATGTACACCGCGGACGTCTTGTCCAGGAAGCCGCTAACAACGACAGACAACTCTACAGTCACACCGAGAGATGCTGACAAGAGTGAAACATTCGTTCAAGAGTACGAGATGCTGACAGTGGAGCTTCTTCCAGCATCTTCTTCCTGTTTATAGAGGCTGAGGACTGAACTGTCCAGAGACCCTAGTACGGCGAAAGTTATGGAATACGGCCAAAAACAGTGGCCCGAGACGGACATGCATCCTCCAAACCTAAAGAAGTTCGCCAGTCTCGCAACAGACCTTTCGGTTGTGCAAGGTCTACTCATGCGGAACGACAGGCTGGTTATTCCACCCCCCCCCCCCCCCCCCCGGTCTGCAAGGAGAGGTCCTAGAAAGAATACACTGTGGACATCAAGGTGTCATCCGATGCCGTGCAAAAGCGAGGGATTCTGTCTGGTGACCTGGGGTCAGCACAAAAATACAAGAATACGTAAGTCGCTGCCCTACATGCCAGCAATATCGACGAGCTCCTACGGACCACCTACTTCAAACTCCACTACCCGATGATCCGTGGCAAGAGATCGGAACGGACCTTTTCCAGCTGGGAGGGAAGAAGTATGTAGTCATCGTCGACTAGTACTCGAAGTTCTTCGAGCTTGAGGAACTTCCAAGAACGACAACGGAAGACTTGACCAAAGTCTTCAGTCAAGTTTTCGCAAGACATGTACGTCCGGAAGGTATACGCTCAGACAACGGTCCCCAGTTTGGATCGAGCGAGTTCCGGCGATTCGTGAACCATTGGGGAGCCCAACTGGTGACTTCTGGTTCATATTACCCCCAGAGCAAAGGGGAGGCCGAAAGAGCGGTACAAACTGCAAAGAACCTGCTGACGAAATCATCGGATGCGGCGCAAGCTCTTCTGGCACACCGGACTACCCCAGGGCCTGAAGGTTTCTCCCCTGGAGAGTATCTGATAGGACGGAAGCTCCGTTCAACACTTCCGAGTGCGCCAACTACGCTGAGACCTCACTGGCGCCACTCGAAGAGGTATCGACAATGGTACCAGTTTCGTAAGACGAGAGAGGCGTCTCACCATAACAGACGCCATAGGACGAGAGACTGCCAGGTCTGGTGTTCTCTTGCGGCTCCTGTCTTTGGTCCTCTTGACTCGACCCGACTCGGTACATGACAGGGGTCACCTTGGGGGGTCACGTGACCTCGGGGGGTCACGTGACCTGGGGTGCCACGTGACCTGGGGGGCACGTGACCTTGGGGTGATCTCGGGGGTCACATGACCTGGGGTCACGTGACCCTGGAATGACCTTGGGAGGGGTCACCTGACCTCGGGGGTTCGTGTGACCTTGGGGGGCCACGCGACCTGGGGGTCACGTGACCTTGGGGGGTCATGTGGGGGTCACCTTGGGGGTCACGTGACCTTGAGATGACCTTGGGAGGGGTCACGTGACCTTGGAATGACCTTGAGAGGGGTCGCGTGTGCTTGGGGGTCACATGACCTTGGGGTGACCTTGGTTACGCCGACGGCGATGGCGACGCCGACGGCGACGGCGACGCCGCTCAAGTCAGAAACGGGCGCCTAAGAGCTGCGCTCTACAAGTGGGCGAAAAATGGGCATCCTCTTTTTTGTAGCATATTTTTGTCTGTCATGCTACATTTTGCGATTGTTTCTGAACGCGCATTGCACGAGTAAATTTAAATTACAAATGGAAATACGCAAATCAACTTACTCAGGAGGGATGCCGTCGGAGATTTCATTGGAGTTGCTGAAAAGAATAAGCGGTCCCATTTTATTCGGTACACGACTTTGAAATCAAAACTTAGGACCGGTCCTTCCATTTTTACTAAAGGCCATTTTAATTTAGTTCCGGCTTTTTATACTCCAACGCGCTGCTTTACAAGCGTTTCCTCATACCAGGCGTGGGATCTGCACATGCGCAAAAAATAACAACAAATTTGCGTCAAGTGAAGCGTCCGCACATGCGCCATGCCGACGGCAGCGCCACACCAGTGGCGTGACGTCAGAACCACTTGCTGGTGTATAGACCGATATCGCAAGGGCGTCTCTATTTTGAATTGTCGTCACTTCCAGTATGGGTAAAAGCATTGTTCTGCCCTCGCCTCGCCAATCGAATACATTTAGGATATACGCGTAACTGTCACCCATTCTCGTTCTGTCACCCCTTTCTATTTTTTTACGATTTGCAGATTCAAATGTTTTAATTGTATTTTTTCGCCGCCCATACCGGATATGCCTGTAAGGTGACTAAGGTCGACAGTAAGCGAAGAAGGTCTATAGGCTCCTTGCACTGACGTCACATCGCACACTTTTGAACACCAAGTAAGAGGAGGAGAGGAAAACTGCTTTTGTAAGAATTTTGAGTGACAGGTTAATCTTCTATAATCTTCTGGGGGGAGAATAGCGACGCCTGTACAAATCCGGGAGGTACAAAGGAGAGTCCTGATAAGGGGGGAGCTCCTTCTTCCCCTCTTCTTTGGAGGGCAACGGAAATGACGTCCTGTGCAAGGAGCCTATAGATCACGTAGCGGAACATCTCTATACACCTGTTCCGAGTTTTAAAATGCGTAGGCTAGAATTTGTGATGTGGTTCGGTATACACTCGTCAAGTGGCTGCCCATATCGAACCTCGTTCTATAGCCTCTTGTAACTCAAGAAGGTAGGGCGAGGAAACGGAAGGCCGGGAAGGAGAGAGCGGACGGAACGCTGGAGAGAGGAGGAGGTTTCCCTCTCTCCTCTCCAGCGTTCCGTCTGCTTCTTCAGCACTATAGACCTTTCCATCGCTTATCGCCCAGGCGAAAAATGTCGAGTCACTGGACTGTTACGCAGGCGCGGCGTACTATTTTTTCGCAAGAGGCGCTATTGTGCGTGCTCAGAAGGCGTATAACAGTCCAGTAGGAAAAGATGGCAGCTCGCAGAAGGCGTTTGTTGAAAAGGTCTATACTTCGTTTCAGCTTCGGTCCGAGCACGGCCGATGTTGTGAGCCGAAGGGCCAATCAAGCAGCGCAAAAAAGCGCAGCGTCATGGCGTGCTCTTTGTGCCTGATAGGACTAGCCGGCGGAGGAACGCGCACAGAGACACGGTGAATATCGGCTGGTCCTATCAACTGCCGAAAGCACGCCATGACGTTGTGCCTGTTTCGCTGTTTGATCGGCCCTTCGGCTTATTAGCCCCGTGAAGTTCGCGTGGCGCCCCCTTACGGCGAACCGGGGTGACGTCACGGCGAGGAGAGAATTTTTCCCCGACTCCCGCCGCTTGCCCTGTGGAGGCTGGGACGACGCTAGCTGCCGGCGCGCTCGATTTTATTTAATTTTTTTTGGCGTGTTTTTCGTAGGAAGTGTAAATTTTTATATGTGCCTTTATTTAGGTATGGCCTGTAGCTACAGGCGAAACTTCAACCATCATTTTAAGCATGCATGACAGGGCAGGCAACGCATGAATCGGTGTGGTATATGAAAATAAAGAAATATGGCCAGAATTGTAGGAGCATCACTATAGATTTACATCTGGCACGATAAATGCTGCTGATGGTCTGAATGACTTGGCAGGTAATGTATAGTATTTTTTTTTGTATCTGTTTTTAAACAAGATCGCCGAAGCAGAAAAGCTGCATGCTGCTCGAGCAACATGCTAAACACAGTCTGGGCCATGGGGAGAGAATCACAAGTAAGACAGCCCAAGTGCAGGGGCAAAGTAAAAAAAAAAAAAACAAGGAACATTTATTATAGACATTGCTCGCAGTTGACCTTTACTGGATTCGAATAGTATTTCAATGGACTACACGGGTGGTATCTCTAGACTTGTTTATATCAACCCTCAAGTAATGTATAACAAACGTAAGCGAAGGTGTGTAGCTCGTTATTAGTCAATTAAGCCCTAAAATTGAGATTTTACTTAAATCAAATTGTCCTGAAGCTAAAATACCAGAAGCTTTTCTCACGCTGAGTGTCGCCCTTCACAGGTTCCACATTTTCTGCTACTAGTGCTGCATCTACCACTGGACGGACAATCGAATGCCTGTTTTTACTCCTGCTTCCTCTATTGTCAAAGAGTCCAGCTGTAGGGAGTTTGGAGGCTGAGGAAGCTTTTGGAGACCTGCAGCAGTGTCTCTTTTAATCGGAAATGACAATTCAGAATAAACGGTGTATTTTCCGAATGCCCAAGGCTGGAATGAAATGTCCGGAAATAGTATAAACAATCTAAATTACGGCACTATTGCTGTGCATATTTTGCGCAGTTCAGTACATATCATACGGGCAACTGGGGGCAATTCGGCCGTCTTTGCTGCTAGCATACAAACGAATTTCTAGAAATTGGGCATCTTCTAAGAAATATGCGTGCATACGTGTATAAGCTATATAATTAATTCACGAAGAAGCTACATTTATGCAAAACAACCCTGTTCCACGAGCACTTCAAAGATAATCAGACACAGGGCCTTTAAATCATCTGTGAACCAAGGCTTGCGAGTGGCAGCGCAAAGTCGGGGTCGCGAGATAATTTGCCGACCACCCAAAGCCCCTGATATAAATGCCACTTTAAATGCCTTGAAAGCGGGTTGTAATATCGTTCTAAATCATGAACATGCAAGGAACAGAATTGCAGCGTCTGAAACACCTGCGCCACTGCTTCACCGATCCCTCGCAAAACTGCCTTGTGTCGTGTGGACGGACGGGGAGGTTCATCGGCGGAACTGCCTCCGCCGATAGCTTTCGGGATTTGTTACCCAATTTTAAGGGTAAAAGGGACGAGCAGGCTTATAAAATTAACGGAAGCACGTCAATATCGGCCTAACTCAACGTCTTGTACACCGGGTAAACGAAGTCCAGCTCCTCGAAGAGCTTGCGGCACACAACGCCAAACCAGGAAACCGGTGCTGGGAAGCGAGCCGATGCGAGATCGCGGAGCGGAGTACTCGCCTTGACGTCACGGTACACCTCACCCAATCAGGGCGCGGCGACCGCAGCGACGCTTGTGTTCGCTCTCGGGGCTAATAACATCGGCCGCGCTCGGACCGAAGCTGAAACGAAGTACAGACTTCCTTTCCTTCGCCCTACCTTCTTGAGCTTTAGAGCTGTCTGCATGAGCCTGCTTTTAAGGTACTTGCGCTGGACAGGCAAGACCGTGCTGATGAAATAATAGTGTTAGTACTGAGTAATGAAGCAAATGTTAACGCTGTGTTTTTGCGTACGTTGCGTGCTCCACACTACGCTTGCGCCGTACTTACGCAACGTAGGAAGCTATCCGTATGTACTGTCTCTGTCGATATTTACGGGCTGCGTAATTTCGGCACCGATTTGACATCCAGGGGGGCATGGCCAATGACGTCGCGGACGTCAAAATCACGGTTTTTATTTTGACGTCGATGACACGTTTTCTTTGGATGTCGCGGAGTGCATTTTGAAATGTCGGTCGCTCGGCGTTTGTGTAGCCGGGTGCTCGGCGACTCGCCGGTATTCGCGCTGATGCGAGTTGTCGACGTGCCGCTTGTATTCGTCGCGTTCTCAGGAACATCCAAATAAGCGTTCTCCATTTTCCAACTTCGCCCGGTGCCGTCTGTTTCTCCTGTTGCAAATGAAGATTACAAGTACTGGAGGGGACAGAGCCCAGCCGCAGTAATTTTGTACGCATTTGTCTGGTGCTGTGCTTGTGTGATATACCACGGATTATCACCTTTGCATAGAATAGCTGCGAAGGTCGTGCAAGCGGCGAGCGAGTAGCCTTGACTGGCATGACTGGAGCATCCACTGCAGGTGTGCTCGTGCCGCGTGATACAAAGCAACTAGCTTGCGCTTTTAGCATTGTTGTCGCCCACATTCGTTTTTATTTTCAGCGTTAATCGTAAACAAGAAATGTCGTAAATATCGCCAAATGTCCCAACAAAACAAAATGTTCGAAAATAAAAAAAGGTGTGCTTCCACTGCGCATCGAACCCGCGACCCCTTGCACAGGAGGCAGACATCTTACCCAAAAAATAGCGTGTTAAAAATTTGTTTTATACGAAACTTTCGGACGGCACTTACCGCGTGAGTGGAGTACCGTCGGGCGGTACTTGAACGCTCTGCAAAAGTGCCGTCGGACGGTAGGCTAAACCCTACGAATCTTCATTTGCAACAGGAGTGACGAACGGTACTGGGCGAACGAAATGGAAAAACGCTTAGAACGCGACAAGCACAGGCGGCACGTTGACGACAGTGAGTACGCCGAGCACTTGAACCCGCACATACTCCCCGACCGACCACGTTTCAAAATGGAGTCGGTGGCATCCAAAATAAAACGTGTTTCTGTTAAAATAACAGAAAATATAATTTTGACGCCCGTTACGTCATTGGCCACGCCCCATGAACATCAAATCGGTGCCGAAAATACGCACCCATAATTACGTGGGTACGCAGCGCCCTCTGCATGCCCTTCTCGTTGCTCTCGTCGTGCGCGACACACTGCGAAAAAAACAGTTTGTGCGGGAACATCTAGAAGGCGCTGTTATACTGCGAAAAGGTTTAAACGTATTGTTTTTTGTTTTTTTTATTTATTTACTTATTCATTCATTTCTAAATCAGAGACTGGTTAATTCTTCAGAGGAAAGTAAGTAATTCAGGTGAACCAAGTCTCTTCTAGAGCAGAGTGGGTACTCTGGAAGAGCGCCCCTGGTTCCATAATAAAATAAAATAAAGTGTTCACTTTACAAAAGTTCATTTTTGAAGTCCACGGCCGTTGCGAGTTTCCATGTTGCGGCAGAGTCTCTCC